GAGAGAGACACATCCCTAACTCAGGCTATACAGTGAGTATAAGCTTGGTTCCAGTGTAGGGACTTGATGAGAGAGGAACCAATTTAGGCTTGAAATCATGCTAACATGTGATGATTTACAATTATATTTATAAGTTTAAGGTGATAGTTTAAATAAGCCACGATTTAAGAATCTTTACTTTGCCATGAAACTAATTCTACTTACAAGACTATTGAAAGACATTTTTTTCCAGAAATATTAACACATATCTTGCTTGGGCAAATATAATTGATGAATTCGGTTCACAGCTTGAATTTTTAGAGTAATATTATTGTTTTTTCTAAATTCTGAAAGTATGTTGCTATCCACCCTGCAATCTTAAAGCAGCTGGGCTTACAGTATGCAGAGGGGGTAGTGTGTGGGTCCAATGCAAGGTGTATTGCACTGCTTAATGCCTTCAAACAGGTGGGTAAAAATTGGGTCTCTCTTGAACAGTGGTTCACTCTTCACTTTTTATTCTTTTGCAATGTAAAACTTATTATTATTATCACTATAAAAGAGATATTTACTAGTATTAGAAAAAGAAATAAAGCAGATTGAAATATAAAATGTCTCTCTGGTGTATTGGTAAGCTCCAAGTCAGGTTTTTCTTGATAATATTTTTTTTAATATCTCCAAAGCATGCAATGGTTCTCTTCATTTATTGTTTCCATCCCAGGTATACCAAAAGTGAAAACTCATAACACATCCCTTTTTCACATGTATGCGCTAAAGAATAATCCAAAAAGATTTCTATGCATGCATTATTTTTTACAAATTCCACACAAGTTATTAAAAAATTATTATTCTTTTCTTTCAGTTTCTTTGCCCATTGTCGGCCATTTGCTATCAAAGCACTCAATGGCACAGTTTTAAAACAGCTTTAGCTTAAGCAACCCCACACCCAGGGTCATAAGACCACCAAGCCATTTCTACCAATAATGTATTTCCAAAAAACCCCAATTCATGTCTATTTGTGGTCATAGTACCAGAAGTCAAATAATCTGGTGACCCAAATCAGGATTAACTGGTCCAAGTAAGAATTACATTAATACTGGATATTTACGCCTGTTAGATTAAAATTGATTTTGACAAATATGATTTTTAAATAGGTTGATCCTTCTAATAGGTCTATAAAACCGTTTGGCATATTTGTCTTTGACTCTTTAAGTTTGGGCATATTTATCTCTCCAAATAAGTCGTGTAATTCAATATTTTTAATGTTATTCGTACGTGATTTATATAATGTGTAGTAGAAATCTTTTACGCAAGTAAATTTCTCATTAAAAATGAAACTTTGAGGTAATAAATATGGCAGACATGTGATTTTAGGTATGGAATTTAAGAGAAAAAATTATAGATTTGAATTATTTTCCTCAGGCCAAAAGAAATTTGATGGAGGTAATTGAAGAATTCTTGCAAGAAAAGATTCTAGCTGGAGAAGCCATCTCTCTAACTGTTCTGATGATGGGGATGTCCTTCTTGTTTTTGGTTGGTGAGTGGTGAAAACTTTTTTAAAGCTTTGATTATTTTTTTATACTTTCAGAATAAAATGTTAAGTGGGGGTGTTTATACTAATGGTGATAGTTTTTAAGTGTTTTTGTAATAATGAAACAGATTGCTTCTCTTTTCAGCTCTTCTTTGATCCGGAAGATACTCTGCGACGCACACTCTAAAGGAAGACAGTTTTGTGTTTTCGTCGATGACGGTCATCCAAAGTTAGAAGGGCGAGAGATGATCTGTCGTCTCGTTAGACATGACATTAAGTGTCCTTACGTTCTCAATACAGCTCTTTATGTTATGCAAGAGGTCAGTGTGATTAATTTCAAATCTGGGGGTTCCCCAGGATTTGGGCTACAGGGAGTCCAATATGTGAATCTATTATTTGCTCATTCATTTACACTGAGTCCAACCCAAGCATGCCCAACCAACCAACCACCAATTTTGTAAGTCATCCAGCGGTCTTTGAAAAGATGGGCTGTTTTTGAGGCAGATGGCTGTCCAAATGTTAACTGGACAGCTCTCTTGGAAAAAACTTGTTTCAAACAAAAAAATAAACTGTGTTTCAATCAGTAATATGCACAACATGTTAGTTTCAGCAATGCACATTGGGTCAACCAACACAATAACTCATCCAATACAATGCACAATAAGACAACTAACACAATATCTCAACCAATACAATGTACAATGTCTCCACTAACACAGTGTTCTGTGAGAAAGCTCCTTTTCACTCTATGTGCTCTGGCTCATCAAACACTGCGCACAACATCTTGGACAATAAAGAAATTGTTTTATCTGCTTCAGCAAAGTGTATTATATCTTTGTAGAGGAGAAGATTATGGTTTGCCTTAATACAACTAAATGTCTCACCTAACACAATATACAATATTTTGTCTCAACCAACACGGTTGAAACTGTCTCCTCAAACAAAATGTTCATATATCATCTAGCACAACATGCTTTGTATGACATGACATACCACTTTCGTGCACATGTTTTATTTTATATAATAGACAAAGTAATACTGTGATTTATCATACTGATGCCAGCCTACGGAAGTCTTCTTAGGTGCTCTTGCTTTGTAATTCAAGGCAACTTTGTAAGTCGGCCATTTTTGCGGCCATGACCTTGGCTTCTTCAGTGTGACAAAATGTGCAAGCAATGTTTATGCAGGTGCAGCTAATGCATTCTGCCTTAATAGTCTATAATCACTTTTTAATAAATAACAAAATCATTGCAGAACCGCGTAATTACTAAATTAAAAGTTTATTACCATTTTAAAACTTTGGGAATGTGTTAATTACTTTGTTTTCTTTTTATTTGGTTATTAAAAAGTAGGCCCCTTTGAACTGCAAAGTAAATAAAGACTAACGTGATGGAATTAAATGCTAATATGTTAATTAAATTTTATTTTCATCACCTTATCATATTCTATCTCATAGATGCAAATTGAACATTTGACTATTTTGAAAAAAAATGAAAATGTTGCTTAATTGATATGCTTTCATCATTATTATTGTTTTAATTATTGTCTCCCCCTCCCCATTCCCCTTTTCAAATTATTCTCTATATTCATTTCTTTTCTTTTTTTCAGGTAGATTTACAAATATTGTCTCCCAGTGGCCTGGAAGTGTCCACACTGCGCACATTTTTTCCACCTCAACACCAGAAACCAGGGGATATATTTTAAAACTTTTCAAACAAACATTAATATTTCACATATATGTAGATATAAAAGTACTGATCCAGATTAAGATTATTTGTGTACCGTTTCAAACTGTAATCATCTATTCGTTATGTGTTTTGTAATTGAAAAGCAATGTGTTCAATTATTGTGTTCAATGTGATACCCTTGTATAAATAACATATTACATGTACATTTTCATCAGCACATAATGCACAAGTTGTGAAATAAATAATAAAATTGAAAATAGTAAGTAATGTAAAGTAATTTCTCTACATTTCTTTTAGAATATAATATTCACATGTAAAATTATTTATGAACAACAATTAACACTACAAGTTAAAAATGAATTTTCAACTACAATGCATTTGAAGTATACTGACTTCTGTGGACTTGTAAGCCCAAAGTGTTTGCAAGTTACTTTTGTTCATTTCAGTGTTTGATTGCAACAATTAAGTCTTGTATTTGAAACAAAGATGAACAGTCCATAAAAATGAATAATATATCAAAAGTAATTATTCTATTGTCAATTTCTTGGATTTGTTTTATCAGTAAAGTTATTTAGCAACAGTGCCTGATGGGTAACCAAATATGGACATAGACCCAGTTGTTCATAGCAACTATCTTCAAAGTGAGGTTGTTCTTAGCAATTATCCACTGTATAGTGATTTTATCCACCGTTTAGCTATCCGCCTGTTTATACGCTCTTTATACAATGCATATTTATCCACCGTTTAGCTATACACCGTATAGGGCATTTACACACTGTATAGAGTTATCCGGCGTATACTGCTATACGGCTTTCATACAACCCAGTCCTGGTGTGTTTGTATCGGCGCTCTCTGTGTGTATATGTACTTAACACATACTGTATATATTAGACGTGTTATGCTATCTTTGCCTAGTTATGAAGCAAAAACAAACTGTGGCCTTGCCTCATTACATAAACTCTACCTCCACCAGGACCAAAGACATATTTATCACTAGATATTTATAGATATATCTCTGGTTAAATTCACCGTTATTCTCTGTACTCGCCTCAAAGAAAATATCCGCATAATAACTGCGGTCCTGGTAGAGGGTAGATACAAGCCCCCAGGCTGATAGTATGATGTGTAAGATTCCGCGGTATACGTACACATAAGTAAATAACCGCCACGCAGGTGCGCCCGTATCGCACGAGCGAGCGATGTACAGATTTCACTTTCTATTTGGGCTGATTGTAATTTTTACATCGTAATTTCTGCTATCTACCGGTAGATCTTAATTAGTGTGACTTTGCAATCCTTCGGAAGGGGGGTATATTTTTATATCGTTGTTACTGTTATCCTCTATCCATTTAAGTGAGGAACATGAGACGTTGGGGATATTTAAACTTGCCATTAGGGATGTGCACGTGTCCTTCGGACTATGGGTTTTGCCGTCCCTAGGGGTGGTTGATTATGATCTTTAAATTATATTTTCTGCTATATACCCATAGGTCTTTAGGTTGAGGAAAATAAAATGTCGGGGTGTGCATAGGCACATCGATTTTTTTTTTTTTTTTTTTTTTTTTTTTTTTTTTTGTGACTTGGGGTGTGGCTGTCCCTGGGAACGGTTGACTAATATATTACCGTAATTTATTTCATCTCCTCCTAGACCATTCGAATTAGGAACATGAGTCTTTGGTGCATGAGTGGGCTACATGGGAATTTTAGTGTGACTTGAGGTGTGGCCGTACCTAGGGAATGGGGTGATTAGTAGTTTGTCAGACAATGAAGCTGATTCCATAGATTGCACTTAAGTGCCATTTCACGAGAGAATCAACCAAATCAGCCAAAATGTGGCAAGGTGGGGGTCAACAGATTCAACCCAAATTTTCTGTGTTTGATAACTGTTACAAAAGATGTTGAAAACACACTTCAAAAAAATTCTGAAAATTCTGGAAAAAATAGATATTGCCATCTGAAATTTGGGGGTCCTGACTACACAAAATATCGTAACAAAAGTAGTGGAAGTTTGCTTGAGAATTCCATGAAGGATTTAACATTTCAGCTTTAACTATTCCCTTTTTCTAAGGGTCCATGCCAAGACCTTTCGGGTGATGTGTGACTAAAATGTCAATCACGTTGCTATAGTAACGAATTTGGCCCGTGAAAAGAGGGTACAAAATCAAGGTCAAAAATCAGCACTCGCCGATTGGCAAATTTAGCCTAACACGGCGTCGAATATGAATAAAATAAGGCAATTTTTGAACAGTTAAGGTCTTGAGCTTTGTAATTACGCAATAAAAAATACTGCACCTCGTCAGGATACGTTGGGGTGGACGTCTAGAATGAGGGGTATGAGCGGTGAGTTATACAGTGATTCCGGTCCACAGTGCCGTTCAAATGCGTCTCATTTTTATAAATCGTACTTTTTGTTTATATTAATATAATAGAAAATATTCTTAAAGTTTTATTAAGGTTATTGTAACGATTAGAGGATAAAGAAAATATTTCGAAACTATCGTTTACGACTCTGCGTCATTGACCCCAAAATGTACACAACATGGCGGAAGGAGGCGGACTTAGATGTGAGATAGCGAATATTCCTGGTGCAGAAAATATACCGTGCGGACTCAGTATTCCATACAAATGCCACACGAGCTGTGTTTTGCTTAGGGAGTGTACCAGAGACGTTAAAAACCACTTAAAAACCTGAAAGTGCTTCATGTCCAGAAACAAGCTACAGATAAAAAGGAGCTTATTCTTCAAAGGCTCGGCCATTTCGACTTTGACCCCGAGAGTGAACTACTCAACTTATGTCCAGCACACAGGTTTCGTTTAGGGACGAACTGGACTACGTCCACAAAGTGCCAGCACCCACTTCTCAAAGGGAAAGGGAAACCCTCTTCTTACCAAGCAATTGGCGTCGAGATTTCCAAGGAGCTGAAACTAGATTTTGGTGTGTTGGTCCCAGTAGGGTCATGTAAGTATATTGGCTATATCAGCTAATTGTAGTTTACCAACAATGGAAAAAGCATAACAAATTTTAAAACTCACCCAGTTTATATCTACACTATACAATGATAGGAGATCTTGTAGCATATTTTTTATACGAAATTATTGAGAAATGGAACATTTATATTAGAGTAACTCACTTGCATGTATTCAATGATTGTTTGTGCACATATGTTATGAAACAATTTTTATTAATATTGTAGAAATTTAAGTAGTATATTTGGCTGATACTTAGTTGAAAGGTGATACCATTCTTTTTTTCAGCTCTTTGTAAAAGGTGTAAAGAGAAAGAGACTGCTCGTCAAGGGGGCGTCTCGATAGTCTGAAGGTTCATTGGTCCGAAGGAATCAAGGGTTCATTGGCCCGAAGGTTCTATAGTGACTATTGAACATTCGGACTATTGCTACGGCCCCCTTGTCACCATGAGAAGTATACAGCAACTAAAGATACAACTGTGGCTTCTATGTCTAAACTTTCTTCAGCCCAAGAAGAAACTGAAGTAAGTTATAATATTATTTCCATGCACAGGTTTAGCAATACTGTAATTATTAAGGTGCACACTACTGATATAAATATATAGCTGTTCCTCCACTGTTCTCATATTGAAGTAGAGATTTTATAAATCACTCAGTTTGTTTTTACATTGTTAAAGTACAGAGTTTATTTGTAAATCAGGACTTTGAGTCTAGTGACCATTAGATGGTTTATTGAAGATTTGATGTGAAAAGCTTCTTTTGTTGAGGTACACTAATTCTTTTTTCACCTCTCCGATTATTAAGGTTACAATAACTGAAGATCCTTTTTTCACCTCTCCAATTATTAAGGTTACAATAACTGAAGATCCTCTTTTTTTAGCATGCAAGGTTAGACATGCCAGTGTCAGGCAGCAGCAGCAATGGCAGCTCACAAAGTAGTGGGAGGACAGACCTTGAAGCTTCTTGGGTCTCTACACCTGTAAAGAACCAGGACCTGGGGAATTTGAATAATTTTCTTGTTCGTGGTGGGTTTGAACCAGCCATAGGTCAACTTAAATCTAGCTATGACACTGCTGCCCCAAGAACGAGAAGGTATTACAAACAGAAAGCAAGAGAAGGCATCAACTTGGTTCTGAACTGTTTGTCACCTGGTCAGGAAGAAGCTGTCTGGAGATATATTCAGAAAGCTGATGAGGAAACCAGTACCATCAACGCACTGATAGCCTGTTATGAAAGTGCAGATTCAAGAAAACTAAACGCATAAGTCTGCCGCTGTATATGTATTTGTGCAAGACGTTTTTAGTCTAATGAAAAGGCTCTACAGTGCATTTTTATTGGTGCTTTATTTTTCTTAATTTTCAAAATTACAATAAAATATATATTATTATCTTTAAGCAATCTGATTTTCTTTTAATGAGAAATGGAAATGAATAAAAACAGATATCATCCACCTGAAATGAGTGCTTCAATAATAATTTTTAAAAATGAAAAGTTACATAAAAAGTACGACCTTGCTCCAAAGATAAAAATATAATATGGATACACTGTGGAGCATTACATATATTTTTAAAGGGGATGCTGATATTACATGCTTATATTACATTCTGCATCAGCCATATGGCTTGTTCCCAATGAAAATATTATCCCACATAGATCAATCCAACTCCCCAGATAAACAGATTTTAAAAACACGAAAAATAACCAATGATTTGCTGAACACTCAGTCATGCATCCTTGTTGAACAGTTTCTTCTTTGTTTTTTATTCATCATTTCTTATGAGACTTCAAGGGGAGCAATTTTTGTTCACACTTGTCCTTGCCTGCTTGTGCTGAATAAAGAAGCCTGTCTGTTCAGATAAAGCTGGTATCACTATGGACAAAATGTAGGAGCACAGCGGTAGCACCCAACAACATCTAAACTANAGGGCTACAATGGGTTAATAAATGGGTGAAAGAGTTAATCGAATCGTCTAAATTAATTGACAAATGTATTTGTAAGAAAAATCGATAACTAAAAAAAAAATTAAAAAAAAAAAATCGCTAAAAAGGATACTTTTAGCATTGCTCTTAATTTTGGCGATATATATCGGCGAGCGTATCTGCGACGAAACCGGAAATGATTGTTGGTCGCCGTTTGCCAAAGGTAAATCTAATGTTGACAAAATAAAATTTTATTCTCCGAGATATGATATAAAAAAAAAGTGATGTGAATGGCCAAACGAGAGAAATCCGAGCAAGGGTTGACAGCATGATTAAAACAATAACAATAAAAATAAAAACGCATGTTAGCGGCTTTGCAATTTGCGATGTTTGGAGAAAAACAATTTCAAAATCACAGGTGAAGCGGGAAGAAAGAGTTCAAAATGTAACCAAAAATAAAAAACCACAAAAAGACCCCGAGAATAGTCAAGACTTGCAGGTAAAAAGCAAGTAGGGTCTAAGTGTTATGTGTGTAAAAATAAAATGTCTAATTTGCAAGTCTGTTTATAACTTGCATGATATCTTTCATATCCAAAGCAACATAATGCCTTTATACATTTACATTTATCTCCAAAAGAATACATAGGGCCTAACAGTAACGTGTAAGTTTATTTAAAACTAATAATAGATAACTAATAAATTAATAAAAGAATATTTATGCTCTAGTTTTTTTTTAATGTATCACATTGATCTTCTCAAAAAAATTAATAATTTGCCCTCCCCCCACCCCGAGTTCACAGTTACCAGGATAATCAGTTTAGAACTACTACTGTCACCCATGCATCTGTCTGTTGATTCATCAAATTGGCAGCATAAATAAATATATTTTGAGAGCTGAATGCTAGTACTTCAAAAATTGTCAAAGTGTTTTGTCGGAGAAAGACAGAAAGGAGAGCTATAGTATATAGACCTTTTTTTAAAAAAAATCAACCATTTGAACTTCATTATACAGCAGGTTTATTGGGAAGTGCAACAACAATAAAGGTATGTGTACAGTAAATCAGTCTTTTGATTTTTGTAAGCATATGGGAGTAAAATTGGGGTTTCTGAGCAAAATGTTAGGCCTATCTACTAGTATATTTCAGTACAAAAGAGCTCCATGTTAGAGTAGAGAATAACATCATGTTAGGCTAATCTTCACACCTGGTTAAAATCACACACTATAAGCACCTAGTCATTTTTGCAGGAGTAGATAATGTTTAAAAAAACTGGTAGCCAAAGACTAAAGCATCAAGAATTCCATGTAATGATAATGTCTACTCATAAGCAGGGTAAAATTGTTCTTTCTTTCATTTTTTTTTTTCATTTCTGATGTAGATAACATCAGGCAAATTCTAGCACCTCCAGGGAACTTGTTTTATGTAAATACTTTAGTTGTAGCTTGAACTTGGCATTCCAATCTTGATCTGGGTGACAGTCAAGTTTCATTGTTGCTTCCTGTTATCCGAGTCCTGTCCAAAACTGCTGAATGTTCCCTATGGCAGAACTGATCTTATCACTTTACTCAATTACTCAAGGTTGGACAAAGCACCACCACAATGATTAATCAACAATGTCATCCCTGGTTTGACAGTCTACTTGAGCTCTTGGCTAGTTGGAATTTGATTGTTTCAACGAAGAGATAATTGGCATCTTTGAACTACGTGCTAAGCATCATGGTGTTGATAAGACAGCTTGGCAGAATTCCTCCATGGAAACAGCATAGGCCCTACCCAGTCCAAAAGAGGTGAAAAAAGACCATAGCTGTAGTAAAAATTACATAATCAGCCTAGTAGGCATACAGAAAGACAAAAAAAGTTTTTTGACAGAAGTTATAGTTTGTACATGTAGCTCCCACATATTTTTCGCATCAGTATACTTCATCAGTATACTTCGGAGTCAATAAAGGACCATCCCAGTAAAGCATATTAGATGGAAAAAATACAACGCCAACATATTTTACTTTAACCCTGTTTGTAATTTGATAAAGATTTGTACACTTGCAATAAGATATGGTTTATCATTACCTGTCTAATCTCAGCTTTCACCTGGTTAGGTAAGAGAGAAAGAAAGCACCACTGCTGGAAAGTTGTTATGACATCCGTCAGGTCCAGTGTCTTGCTTCTGTATAAAAAAATAAAACATAAGTACAAAAATGAATGTAATAACCAAGTGATAAAAACTGAATAAAGTAAATTTCTAGTAATAATCTTATTTGACCTTCTAAAAGTCGGACTCCGTAAATATATAGCCCTACACTATTACAAAATACTTATACTAACACATTTTACACGTTTGTAATAAAAAGTGAAAACCAATATTTTTGTCCTAATGTTTTGCAAAGGAACTCCTACTGAAGATTGGTATATTGAAAAATCTTTTTTTTTTCTTTTTTACCTCCAATGCCCTTGCCCAAGAGCTGTAGTGTATAAAACGAATTTTGATATGTGTTTTTCCTTTCATTTTTGCGGCTGTTAGCCTACTATAACATCTAATCCTTTTGTGAACTCTTTCCCATCAAACCTACAAATAAAAGGAAGGTATGTATAAATAAGAGTGTGCAACACACGTGGTACCTGAACACATCAGACTTATTCTGAAAATAATAACTACATGTTGGCCTAAAGTACATGTACGATGAGTAATCTGGTATTAGACGCAGTAAAATGCCGACGCAACTTTTACATGCTTCAAAAGATATGAATAGATACTTTTTTTACAATCAACACGTTCGTGGTTTCAAAACTCACCCACACTCTGTCATTTTATTCAAAAGCCTTCTCTCAGCCACTTTTACCGCCGATTCTTGTGCAGCTGAGCGTCTCCCCTTTATCTTAGCAGGCATTTCGAGAGATACCGCTCCGAAGTAATCACTGGATTTTTCCGTTGATCTGACGATTACCAAGTGCCGTGCAAAATAATCCTGCAGCATTACCTGTCAAAAACTCGTATTACACACAAGTGACGATCACTTGCTCTCGACAGACAGTTTCATCCGATAACAGAGAAGGAATCTCTCAGGTAAAATCACTTGATTGCCGAGGAAGACCCATTGAAACGTTCAAATGCAACTTCACACCTCTTAATTGCGGTTAAAGATGCATACAAAGTTAATTTTTTGTCACAAAAACCAACCAAATGCCAGCATATAGTTTCAAGTAGTATAACTGAGAGAATTACCAAAAGACATTGTTTAATTTTATCCTAAAATGATGTTTTAACCGATTTTTTGCTAGCATTCTATGCTGTACGTCAATGGGGCAGAAAAGTAGGTCACGAAAGTAGGTTAAATTTCCGACACAAAATTTAAAGAAAGGAGCAGTCTAAGGCTCTTTTATGGTTGATCGAGTGATCTATTCAGTTTATCCCTTGGCATGTCGAATTGGTTTGAGTCGTATAAGTAACTAGTAGGAGTGGTGTACATGTGCTACTTGGAATCCACGCTCCACCGATGCTCGGTTCGTATGTACCTTTAAACGTAATCGCCTTTGTTAGCGCTTCCTTCTACATATCCTTGACACCCTACTGCAGGCCTACCCAACTACCAGACTCGGCACCGAATGATCCATAATTCACCGGTAGATCAGACCACTCTACCCGTTTTCAAGGTGTGTATCAGATCGCATTACACAGTATCATACCCTGAACAAATTTTGAGTGGTGATGCAATGCTTTTCAACCCCGCTGAGAATCGTCACTATCACATCGCGTACTAGGCAAGAGCGGTGTCGCGTCTGATAGTGTAATGCGATCTGATACACACCTTGAAAACGGGTAGTGTGGTCTGATCTACCGGTGAATTATGGATCATTCGGTGCCGAGTCTAGTAGTTGGGTAGGCCTGTACTGGGCATCACTAGGCTGGGGCCCTCTCCAGAGCTGTCAATCAAAATGGCGGCACGCTTACAAGTCTAAAGCGTGATCAGAAAATGTATGATTTTCTGCCCTTTCAAAGCACCCAAAAAAATTTTTAGATGACAATGAGCAATGGTTCCATCTGATCGTATAACCGATAACAGGTAAATTTGGCAGCTGAGCATTTGACTAATAAGCTCTGTTAACCAACCTGTGGACGTTTTTGGCTGTTTTAACAGCTTTCTTTATTGACGATCGCGAGATACAAGTGAATCGCTGTCAAGTATATCTCACTATCTGAGCAACCGATCGTTACAAAAGTTGCACTAATTGTTGTTGGGAATGTGGACTACAGCCTGATATCAGGGGTTTGAGAGGAAATTGTTTGTTTGAAAGTTATCGTCTTTTGAAGTGAATTACCCATTGAAATATGGGGTAATTTAACGTAAAACATGATGAAATCAAAAGTAAATAGCTTAAGACAATTCCCTGGTACCCGATTGAAGTGCTTTCATCCAGCTTTATGAGGCCGTTTGAATCACTTGAATAGCTGTCTTGGTTATAGAGAAAATCCCAACTCCGAAAACGGCATTTGTCGCCCCAAATTGGCGCTATAGCGTCATCCGTTGGACACTGCACTTAATGTCTGTCTTTAATTGGCCTTTTGGGAAGTATGTTTTAATTTTTTATAAAAACCTATAAGCCCAGGGCATTGTTTCTATGCCATTGGTCGTTTTACTATTTGTGCCCTTAAGGACCAATTTAGAATGAATTTTGTCGACCTAGCTATTGCACACCAACACCACGCGGGTACTCTCGCTGAATGCAATCAGATTAACCGACCAACACGCCCCCTGGCGTTTAGTAGAATATAGAAAAGCTGGCGTTTATGCGAGTACACTGGAAACAAAAGGAGACGTTTTAGTCTGTTAACTGATTGCATTCAGCAAGAGATCCCGTGGAGAAGGTGTGCAAAAGCTAGGTAGACGGATTTAAATGAGAAAGATCCTTTAGCTTGTTACTTATTCATTACAGCTCCATTTCCGATTTAGATATGGCTACTATGGACAACCTGGATCTGATTGAAATCAAGAATCTCCGCCCGCGAATGCAGATCGGCATAAGTCCTCACGAGCTGGGCAAGAAACAGGAAGTGGTCATTAACTTGACCCTCGGCGTGGACATTAGGCGTGGCGCCGAGACAGACGACATCAAAGACACGCTCAATTACAAAAGTGTCACCAAAAAGATCCTTGAATACGCAGAATCAACCGATATCTACCTGGTTGAAAAACTTGCCGAAGATATTGCCAAAATTTGCATAGTTTGCTTCCGGGTACCGTGGGTACAAGTGGCCGTTGAGAAACCCCACGCCCTCAGGTTCTGCGACTCTGTCGGGGTGAAAATTAGAAGAACTTCAAAGGATTACCCACACCCCAGCGGCCATGGAGATCCTGAAAAAACGCACCACGCTTCTGAAGACGTCAAAAGTCTTCCTAGGCCTCACACCGCCTCAACTGGACAGGAACCAGCCACCGTATCATAATATGGCTGTAAAACTGATACCGTACGGAGATCCGGACACATGTAAGAGACTTCTGAAAGAAATTGGAAGAAATCCCTACGAGTGCGTGACCCCTTGAAAAAAAATGTGCCCCATACCATCGATTTAGATATTGCACTTTGGGGTGACGTCGTTTTTGATACTAGTGACGCCACTAAATTAGAGGCTAATAGCACACACTGGATTCTGGATCCTGATATTTTGAAGTTCCATCAATACTTGGTAAAAACATTTCCCATAATGTTAGCACGTACGGTTATTTTTTAACTCTTCGAAATAACTATGTTTCTGAACTTTTTTGGCCGAGTGTGTATACTCGATGTCTCATTTCCATCCAGTCCATTATCAGCATAACATGGAGATGCTTTACGACGCTGAAATTGCTACGGCTGTGAATCGGAACTCGAAAACAGTTTATGTAACCATTCGAAAGTCTTCACAGCAAGCCTAAATGTATTTTTTATTAAATACAGTCACGCTGATCACACACACGTGCGTGCACAGCGCACACACACACACACTCACACACACACTCACACACACACACACCTTAAGTCAGTTCCAGTGGCTATTACGTCTTTAATACCAACATTACATGGTCACATGCACACATCGTAGCCTATAAGGAACAGTGTTACAGCACTGTTGTGGACACATACACACATTGCAGCCTATCAGGAACTGTGTTACAGTACTCTCATGGACACATCCTTAGCCAGGGAACTACTGACTTATGTATTTTTTCCTAAGATAATGTTCATGCATTCGCGCCTACTAATAAACTAACCTGTGATAAATTAAACCTTCAGCCCCTAATAGACACGGTGACGGGGGGGGGATATCTATCTATCTATCAGTTTTAGATAATGTTCATGCTTTCGCGCCTACTAATAAACTAACCTGTGATAAACGGTGCATTTAGCCGCAAATAGACACGGTGACGATTTATATATATATATATATATATTTTTTTTTTTTGGGGGGGGGGATATCTAACTATCTATCTATCTTGGACCTACACGTAACCATGGATGCTGCTTTGTAGGTACTGAAGAACCTTTATGATGGAAAACGTTCAATACAAAAATGTATACATTATGACTTTTCCTAATTTCATCAATATTATAGGAGTAGAACAGAGTTTATTTTACAATAATGCCAGCACCAGTCTCAGTATGATATGATACTGTTTACTAAATAAAACAAATAAATAATGGTCTATAATTGTCTTTGCTTGTATGCTTGTTTCATAAATCTATCCAAATTTAAGCCTTTTTTTTTCAATAATAAGCAAATAATGGTCAAGTAAATTACAGAAATTCTCAGATTGAAAATACGAATTATCACCCTTGCTGATGTATGAAGCGGAGAACAAAGTGAATTTTGTTTTCGATCTCTCCAAAATAACGCAGTACAAAAATTCTGTCATCCACAGGGGCCCCTACAAATCTCTGGCTGAGCCAGAAATGGTCTCTCTCTCGATTTCTCGTTTTTTTTTTTCAACAATTTTTAGAGAGTTTGCTGTAATCCAATAGAAAGCAAACCGACAAATGATCTGCTTACATGTATTATAGGCCTTCAAGAGCTGCCCCAAAGCATTTTTCTCAGCCTTCTGCCTTGGTTATATTATTTAGCTTTGGTTGTATTAGTTGTGTCCAATTTTGGCGAACTTTGTAGTTAATTCACCAGATTGTGGTAGCCGAGATCTACATTTTCATTTTGATGTTTAAATATATATTGTGTTGTCAGTCTTATCACTTCTGAATGATGATATAACATGAAACGGGGGCGGGGGAGTCATGTGACCGTCTGACCAGCTCGCTTCACTTACCTTACGTGGCCAACATGGAGACAGTGAGCTATTTGGAAATGGCGGTACCTACAAAAATGATCTAATTGACGTTGGACATCGGTTGATTCGTGTCTCTGCCGGCTCTCGACGTTTATTTTGATGACTTTTTTCAAGTGTACATTTCAAGTTCGTTTGAAGAAATAA